GTGTGCCTGACACAACCTATGGTATGCTCAATCACCTCATATTGAAAGTTGGACAATAAATAAGGAAGACTAGAGAAGAACTGATGTATTTGAATTGTGGCGATGGTGAAGAATACTGAAAAAACTAACAAATCTGTGTCAAAAGAAGTACAGCCAGAATGCTCCTTAGAATTAAGAATGGCAAGATTTTGGATATGTTAATAGAAGGGACCATTTCTTGGAGAAGGACATCATACTTTCAGCGATTGGTTGATACAGTGACAGCAACAATAACAAAATTGTGAGGCTGATACGGTACTTGGTAGTGCTTGGTTGTTTATAGGGTGCTTTTAGTTTGAACTGACTCAATGGCAGCTAAAAATAGCAAACATCCTCTTCAAAGCAGCTGGATGGACAAGAGCCCAACTCTGGGCTGCACCCACCTAGGTTAGGTCTGAGTGCCACCATTGACAAGTCAGCTGATCCTGAACAGTCTCCTAACTTCTCTGAGTCAGTGTCCTCATCTGTAAAACAGATAAAGGAGGATGCAATGGAGTTAAGTATACATAGTCCTGGTGTGGCGCTGTGGGTTAATGTGCCGGACTGCAAAGTTGATTTGAACAGCAAGATTGGTGGTTCAAGCTCACCAGTCACACCTTGGAAACCCTATACAGGGTTGCTATAGGTTGGAACCAACTTGACATCACTTAACAACAATTATAAATATATATATAATGCATGTAACTGCATGTGACAAAGGACAGGGGAATGTTGTGGGTGCCCTCTGAGTGCCGCCTTTGGTGGAGCCTCACAGGGTTGTAATAAAACTGAACTGTTACATGTTAATGTCTGTGAAGACCTTAGAACAGTGCTTTGTTGTTGTTATTGTTAAGTGCTGTCAAGTTGGTTCCGACTCATAGTGACCCTGTATAAGATTTCCAAGGAACAATTGGTGAGCTTGAACTGCTGATCATACAGTTCAAACTGACTTTGCAGTCCAGTGCATTAACCCACAGTGCCAAACCAGGACTCCAGAACAGTGTCTAGTTCAGAGAAAAACATTCAATAAATACTAGCATGTTTCTACTTTTGACTATGAAGAAATATTTCAGACATTCTTAAATGTCTAAAAGAGATCCATATTTGCACCCATTCCAAAGAGAGGTGACCCAATAGAATGCAGACATCGTTGTATAATATCACTAATATCACATGCTAGTAAAATTTTGCTGAAGATAATTGAAAAATGACTGCAACAGGACATTTACAGGGAACTGCCAGAGATTCAAGCTGGATTCAGAAGAGGATGTGGAATGAGGGATATCATTGCTGATACCAAATAGATCTTGGCTGAAAGCAGAGAATACCAGAATGATGTTTACCTGTGCCTTATTGACTATGCAAGGCTTTCAACTGTGTGGATCATGACAAGCTGTGGATAACACTGTGAAGAATGAGTATTCCAGAACACTTAATTGTGTTTCTAAGGAACCTGTACACAGACCAAGAGGCAATTGTTCCAACAGAACAATGGAGTAATGAATGGTTTAAAATCAGGAAAGGTGTGCACTAGGTTTATATCCTTTCACCTTACTTATTCAGTCTGTATGCTGAGCAAATAATCCAAGAAGCTGGAGTATATGAAGAAGAACATGGCATCAGGATTGGAGGAAGAATCATAAGCAACCTGCCATATACAAATGATACAACCTTGCTTGCTAAGAGTGAAGAGGATTTAAAATACTTACTGATAAAGATCAAAGACCACATTCCTCAGAATGGATTACTCCTCAGTGTAAAGAAAACAAAAAATCCTTAGAATTGGACCAATGAATAACATTATCATAAATGGAGAAAAGATTGAAATTGTCAGAATTCATTTTACTTGGATCCACAGTCAACACTCATGGAAGCAGCAGTCAAGAAATCAAAGGAAGAAATATGGAATAACCCAGCAATCTCTTTACTTCCTATATATCCTCAAGAAATACGAACCATAACACGAATAGATATATGTACACCCGTGTTCATTGCAGCATTACTAAAAACATTATTAAAGAATGGAGACAGCCTACATGCCCATCAGCAGAGGAATGATTGAACAAACTTTGTTACATGCACACTATGGAATGTTATGCAACATTGAAGAATAACAATGAATATGCAAAACATCGCATAATGTGAAAGAACCTGGAGGGCATTATACTGAGTAAAAATAGTCAGTTGCAAAGAGACAAACATTGCATGGGACCACTAAGGTAAAATGTCAAGAAAAAGTTTGCATTTGATAATAAACATTATATGATGGTTACCACAGGTGGGAGGGAAGAGAGAATTATTCACCGGGTAGAGTATCGACTTGTGCAATTCAGGGTGACAGAGAAGGTAGTTAAAAAGAAACGGAAGGAAAAGAGAAGAAGGAAGGGAAAAAAAGGAAAATCACTTTCTTCTCTTTTTTTGTCTGTTTTTCTTACACATACTGAAAGTAAAACAATGCATATTTATTTTCTCATAAATAAAAGAGCTTATAAATTATTTTTGTTTGAAATGTAAAGATCAGGTTACTGTAGAAACATCTTCTGTGTTGTTATGCCATGTTTAATACAGGATCTTAATAATTTTATTTTCTCTAATAACATGGCCTCTATAATAGTAAACTATGATAGTGAGAAATGTGTTTAAAGACCATCTTATATAATAAAGTGAGTAATTTTGAAAAAACATAAAAATGAAGAGTAAATAAAATTGATGTTCCAAAATGAAAAGAGAAGATGATGCAACCCATGTTAGAAATCACCTGGAGTTGTTTAAAGAAATGGCCAGTCCCCTATCAGGACCTGCCTAAGATCCCTGAGCCTTGCTGCCCTGTCCCTCAGCAGGAGCTTTCTGGATAGTGGACGTGTGTTATGGACTGAATTGCACCATCCTAAAACATATGTGGAAATCCTAACTTCTGTACCTGTGAACATTACCTTATTTGAACTGCGTCTTTTCTTCTGTTATGTTCATGAGGTCATACCAAATCAGGATTGGCCCTAATCCCTTCTGGGAAAAGGTTGTGGCACCATAAGATAAGCATTTGACCTCAAGGTTGGTTTAAACTGTTAAGGTCAGTGATTCAAACTCACCAGCTGCTCCTAGGAAATCCTATGTAGGATCCCTCTAAGTGGGAACTGACTCCAGGGCACCTAACAACAATAACATGTGACGTGGGGTGGGGCGGCAGGGTGGATTGGGTGAATGGTGAAGGAAAAGAAAAGAAATCAAAGACCATATTGTATTAGGCAAATTTGCTGCAAAATACTTTAATAAAGTGTTGAAGAGCAAAACATGTGTTTGAAGACTAAAGTACACCTGACCCAAACCATGATATTTTTAATCACTTCATATAAATGTGAAATTTGTACAATGAATAAGGATGACCATAGAAGGATTGATGTGTTGGAGAAGAATATTGAAAGTTCCATAGGAGGAGAATATTGAAGGTGCCATGGGCTGTCAAAAGAACCAACAGATCTGTGTTGTAAAAAGTGCAGCCACAGTGCTCCTTGGAAGCCAGCATAGCCAAACTTCATCTCTCATACTTTGGATATATTGTCAGGAGGGACCAGTCACTGGAGAAGGATATCATATTTGGTAGGGTGGAGGATCAGAGAAAAAGAGGAAGATCCCCAGCGAGATGGATTGGCCAAACGGCAGCATCATTGGACTCAAGTGAGACAATGATAGTGAGGTTGGCCCAGGATTGGGCAGTGTTTCGTTCTGCTGTGTGTAAGGTTGCTATGAGTCGGTACCGACACAATGGCACCTAACTACAAAAAAATAGATACCAGAAGAACAAACAAATCTGTCTTGGATGACATAACAGCCCAAATGCTTCTTAGAATCAAAGATGGAGAGATTTTATCTTTCACATTCAGGAGGGACGGGTTCCCAGAGAAGTAATTTTGAAAAAAATGCTTAGCAAAGTGGAAGATAAGCAAAAAAGAGAAAGACATCCCCCCAATGGGATGGATCAATACAGTGGCAGCAGCAACGGGCTCAATCTTAACATTTGTATGATTGAGTATGACATAGGATCAGACAGTGTTTCATTCTGTTGTGCTAGGGTTGCTATGAGTCAGAATTGACTGGATGGCACCTAACAACAACAACAACAACAAAAAGTTTAAAGAATAATAAGATAGCACATCCACCACCAATTCTAAAATAAAAGACATTACCAGTACAGTTAAAGCCCCTGTATACCTTCCCCATCCACATTCCCTCTGCCCACCCAGAGGTAACAGTGCTCTTGAATTTGGTTTTTATCATTTCCATGCATTTCTTTGGGGTTTTGCTCCATCTGTATATATCTCTTACAATGAACCTGAATTGAAATATCTAAGTCAGAACTATTATGCTTCTTTGTCAAAAGGGTTTAGTATGAAATCCCTGGGTACAAGCAGTTAACCTAATTCTGAAAAATCAATCCTTGAACAGTTCTACTCTGATACACATAGGATCATCATAAGTCTGAATCAACTCAATGGTAACTGGTTAGACATAGTATTCTGTGTAACACAAAGTACTGTTTTGTGAACATAATCTCATATGTCATCCTGCTGTGTCTTTTCTGGTGCTGTGGGTTAATGCACTGGACTGCAAAGTCAGTTTGATCCACAAACTCGGTAGTTCAAGCTCACCAGCCGCTCCTCGGAAACCCTTTATAGGGGTCGATATGGATCAGAACCGACTTGGTGGCACTTAACAATAACAATGCTAGAAAAGTACTTTTATTTCCAGAGCAGACCGTTTAATGATCCAAGACCTCAATTGTTGTTGTTAAGTGTCATCATATCGATTCCAACTCATAGTGACCCTGTATAGGGTTTCCAAGAAGTGGCTGGTGAGTTTGAACCTCCGACCTTGCGGTCCATCTCATTATCCTGCAGCGCCACACCAGGACTCATATTAGTGGGTCTGTGCTTATTAGACCCATCACCTCACTATTACTGATACCTCCCCCTTCTCACTTCCAGACAGAGATGCGACTACAGGACCAGCAGTTGGCAAGACAGCTCATGCGCCTGCGCAGTGACATCAACAAGCTGAAGATCGAGCAGACCTGCCACCTCCACAGGAGAATGCTCAATGACGCCACCTATGAGCTGGAGGAGCGGGACGAGTTGTCTGACCTCTTCTGTGATTCCCCTCTCTCCTCCTATTTCAGTCTTTCCACTCCACTCAAACTCATTGGTGTCACCAAAATGAACATCAACTCCCGAAGATTCTCTCTCTGCTAAGGAGCCCTGAGAAGAGTGGGGGAGTTATCTGAGAAGGGAGTTAAGGCAGAACTGACTGGTTCTCCCTAGAGGCAGGGTACGCACAGAATGGACAGACCTCCAGTGCTTCCCTGCCGCTGGTGAATGGTGGTCCCCTACCAGGACCTTTTGGAAGGTGATCTCTCAGGGCCCCAGCTGGGAGATTCCAGCATCTCCATAACGGCTCTTCATTTAATACCCAAAGACTCTACAGAAGGGCCACTCCAACCAGATGGGAAATGAGAACTGGGTTTCCCGTACTACCCATTGCAGTCCTGTTCTCAGAATCACTGGTGCTATGAACTAGAATCCCAAAGGGAGGCCCCCCCACCACAGGCTGTTAGCCTTTAAGAAGGCTCCCCCAGTGGCACTGAGCTCCCAGAAGGGAAGATGAGTAGATGTGTTAGATGTGCCCATCTTCATGTTGCTGTCCTGTAAAGCACTGGCTCCACTTCAACCTAGATAGGTGACTTACAGGGACTCGCTATGGGAGGAAGGAAATCCTAAAGGAGTGACATCATGAAGCTTGGAGACACAGCTCCGTACCCAGTGCCCATCAGTCTTTGACCTTGACACTGCAGGGTCATGCTTGTTGTTTCTATGTGTGCCAGTACCTGTGATGGACACACATGAGTGGTCAAAACAAACACATACCCTTCCTTTGCTTCCCCTAGACACATATACCAATCAGAACCTCCAAAGAGCCCCATTGCTGCTACTCCACAACCCAAGCAGTGCTTAGGAGACCCTTGGTGACTGAACCAGGTAAAACTGGCAACAGAATTTTCCTGCAAGGGGACCATATCACTTACACGGACATTACTGTTTCAGAAACATAATTGGGGAAGCCAGAATTTGTCTTAAGCCTCCTCTGAGATTCTGTGCCTGACCTAACTGGCTTTAATTGCACTGTTACTAGTCAGTTGTTAACTTGTAAATTACTGCTTTTTTTTTTTTTCCAAATGGGAAAATTAGTTGCATAGGTCAAATACAAACGTCTAGGATTTGATTTAGCTGACATAACATCATATGAGATGTCCCTCCACCAACGTAGTTGGTCCCTCCACCAACCTAGTCCAATCATAAAATCAGGGGAGCGCTGACCTTTGATGCCATCTAGTCTTGCCTTCTCATCATAAAGGCGTGAATTGAAACCCAGGGGAGAAAAATTACTTCCCTTAGGTTACACAGCTATTTAGCAACTATAGGATATTGATGTGTTTAATCATTATTAATAATTCCTAGCAAACCATACATTCCTGACCTTGAACCTCAAAGATGACCCTAATGCTTTACCAAACCCTCAAACTGCCAAATCTTCTACTTTCAACCTCACTCAGCCAACATCCATCCTTCCATTTCGTAATTCAGAATATTAGATCAAGCTCAGAGCAGAGCCTGGACAGCGGACCCAAAGGACATGTACTAAGCTTCAGGACATCTATCACTATCCCATAGTGCATATGCAGTGTACTGCTGATCTACCTTCATGTTTAGCCTTTCTCTATGGTCTCATTCACACACACAAGGGAAAAGAGGAGAGCAGGGTGGCTCTGTAACTGTGAACCACAAGATCTCCATGAGAGAAAGATGAGGCTTTCTACTCCCTCAAAGATTTACAACCTTGGAAACCTTATACAGGGTCACTATGAGTCAGAGTCAACTCAATGGCACTTAACAAGTTAGAAAAGAACTTGGTCTCTTGTGATTTCAGAAAGGTTTATGTTTCTTTCAAAGATAGTAAAACAATATAGCAAGGTTTGTTTTACAACCCTAATCTAAGCAATGAGGAAAGTCTGAGGCCTAGTGGAATCCATTAGAGGACCTCTGGATAGTCAAGCCTCCTCAAGGCCTGATCTGCCTTGGGCAGGAAGGGAGAGGAGTTCTTTGCATTAAGTGAAGTCTCTCCTTAGAGATTATGTACAAGCATTGCCAAATCCAAAAGAGTCACTCCTCCCAGAATTCTCCAAGAATGCACCCTTGAGGCAGTGGGGTGTCCACATGACCTACATGCATTTAACCACTCACTGCAGAGAACATGCACATCAACATGCCCAAACCCACAC